CTTGGTTGGATGCTCTTGGTCCAGGTTGGATGCTCCTGGTTTTGGTTGGATGCTCCTGGTTCTCGTTGGATGCTCCTGGTCTTGGTTGGATGCTCCTGGGTTGGATGCTCCTGGTCTTGGTTGGATGCTCCTGGGTTGGATGCGCCTGGTCTTGGTTGGATGCTCCTGGGTTGGATGCTCCTGGTCCAGGTTGGATGCTGCTGGTCGTGGGGTTGGATGCGCCTGGTCTTTGTTGGATGCTCCTGGTCTTGGTTGGATGCTCCTCATCCAGGTTGGATGCTCCTCATCCAGGTTGGATGCTCCTGGTTCTGGTTGGATGCTCCTGGTTCTGGTTGGATGCTCCTGGACCTGGTTGGATGCTCCTGGTTCTGGTTGGATGCTCCTGGTTCTGATTGGATGCTCCTGGTTCTGGTTCAATGCTCCTGGTTCTGGTTGGATGCTCCTGGACCTGGTTGGATGCTCTTGGGTTGGATGCTGCTGGTCTTGGTTGGATGCTCCTGGTCCAGGTTGGATGCTCCTGGTTTTGGTTGGATGCTCCTGGTTCTGGTTGGATGCTCCTGGTCTTGGTTGGATGCTCCTGGGTTGGATGCACCTGGTCTTGGTTGGATGCTCCTGGGTTGGATGCTGCTGGTCTTGGTTGGATGCTCCTCATCCAGGTTGGATGCTCCTGGTTCTGGTTGGATGCCCCTGGACCTGGTTGGATGCTCCTGGACCTGGTTGGATGCTCCTGGTTCTGGTTGGATGCTCCTGGACCTGGTTGGATGCTCCTGGGTTGGATGCTGCTGGTCTTGGTTGGATGCTCCTGGTCCAGGTTGGATGCTCCTGGTCGTGGGGTTGGATGCGCCTGGTCTTGGTTGGATGTTCCTGGTCTTGGTTGGATGCTCCTCATCCAGGTTGGATGCTCCTGGTTCTGGTTGGATGCCCCTGGACCTGGTTGGATGCTCCTGGACCTGGTTGGATGCTCCTGGTTCTGGTTGGATGCTCCTGGACCTGGTTGGATGCTCCTGGACCTGGTTGGATGCTCCTGGGTTGGATGCTGCTG